AGCGTCCAGACTAGCGCGCTGAACTGACAAACAGCTGATCGTCTCAGCGCAGCAGCCATTGAAATTTATTTAAATCGCCACTTCATTTTCCTATGCTGAGTAGTCTAATCTACATGCCTCTGGTGACAGAGGCATGTAGTCTAGACGTACCCTTGGAGACCACAGAAGTGAGAAGCAAAAAACCCCTCCAAAACCCCCCAATCCTCACTGATGTGGCCCCCAACTGACACATTTCGCTCCTCTGGCGCTCCAGCCCCATGGGGCAAAGAGGAGGGACAAGGAGAACTGAGATTCAGAGCTTCCCAGGGGCCAGATTTACTTTTCTGGAGTTCCGGGGTTAGTGGATTTTGTGGACCCCCCAGGCTCTAGGGTGGGAACAAAAATGAGGGGTTTAGTGTGTGAGACAGGACTGTCTGTGAGTGGGATAGGGATGGGGGTGTAGGATCTGGCTGGGAGGTGGGGTGCAGGAGAGGGTGAGGGACTGAAGTCTGGGTGGGAGGTAGGGTGCAGGAGCAGGCTGTAAGTAGGGTGTCTGGCCAAGGGGGAAGCGGCAAGAGCAAGGGAAGGTGCAGTATGTGGCCAGAAGGGAGGGTGCAGGAGCAAGGGGGAGTAGGGTGTCTGACCAGGGGTAGGGTGCAGGATCAGGCTTAGGGGAGGGTGTCTGACCAGAGGATAGGATGCAGGAGCAGGCTGGGGTGTAGGGTCTGGGTGTGAAGGGGTGGGGTGGGCACTTACTTGCTTTTGTGACCCACCCTACTCCCAGGCACTGTGTCTCAGGCTCGGCCACCTGCTGCTCCCATTGGCCGCAACTCTGGCTAATGGGAGGAGCGGGGCAAGCCACCAGGCAGCACATCTGTGCGCCGCTGTTTTCCCACCCAGGGGATGGGAGAGGAGGAGTGACAACATGCAGATCTGCTTCTGGCTCCGCTTCTTCCCCACAGGGTGGGTCTGGCGGGGAGGCTCGGGGCTTCCCCCCTCACTGTTAATTACATAATTAACTGGCACGCCACACTTCTTTGCCTCCCTCCCCAACTAGCTATTTTGCTGCATTCTCACCCTCTCACCTTTTCTGTGTTACTTCAACTCCTTCCCACCCCCAAACTCCCTCTTGTCCCCCTACTCCACATCCTTTCCTACTACCACGCTCCCTTCTAGACCCTGCCCTCATCACCCCATCCTGCACCCCACCTCCCACCCAGATCCTTCATCCTTATCCCAATCACTGGCAGTCCTGTCCCGCGCACTGAGCTCCTCATTTTTGTTCCCACCCCAGGGTCTAAGAGGGGCCACAAAATCCACTAACTCTGGAACCCCAGAAAAGTAAATCTGGCTTATAGGAAGCCCTGAACCTCAATCCTCTCTGTCCTGTCCACTCACCCCATGGGGGCTGGAGTGCCAGAAGAGTGAGGTGTTTCAGTTGGGGGCCACATCAGTGCAGGTTTTGGGAGAAGTTTTTTTGCTTCTCACTTGTGTGGTCCCCAGCTAATTTCTCTGTGAGTCAGTGGCCCCAGATCCAAAAAAGGTTCCCCACCGCTTCCATAAAGAAAACATTGAAACCTTTTGTGTTGGTTATAATGTTTTATTTTATTTAAAATGAAGTTTGATAAACTAACATGAGAAAGTTAAGGTGCTTAATCTGATTAATAATTTAATATTTCCTTTCTTGCTGGTTACATTAAACCCTTCTCCCTAGCTGCAGCACTAGCAAAATGTCTCGGGCATAATTATGTAATTAATGGTGAGTTTCCATTAGCAGCTGGTGGTCCACAGAAAGGTTTGCATTGAGACAGGTGGGCTCAGCTTATAAATTTGACCTAAGGGGGGTTAAACAGAGTGGACCGACGCGTGTTCATGTTCATCATCTGAGTTAGATGACACCAACAGAAGGCTGATTTTGTTTTTTGGTGGTTCAATTCTGTAGTTTCCGCATTGGAAAATTGTTCTTTACGACTTCTGAAAGCAACCTCCACACCTCATCCCTCTCAATTCTATTGTTTAACAGTATGATTAATCATGATTAATTCTTTTAATTTTGATTATTTTTTGAGTTAATCATGTGACTTTGTGATTGCTTGACAGCCCTACTTCTTACATGCAGTGTAATGTAATGGATCATTGTCATGGTCATGATGGTGTTTGTTCCTAATATACTTTTATAACTATATTGTCCTCAAGCAGAAGATTCAAAGAAAAACATTATCAGCGCCTAATGAATATGTCAAACAAAGAATTTTTCAGATCAAACTATGTCTATTTTTTCAAAATTTTCACAAAACCATGTGAATTAACAAAAAAATGGCCCTTTTCAAAAGCTGTGGAGTGATTTTTTTGAAGGTATTCATGAAAAGCCCTAACCATTTGAGAAGCAAAAAACCCCTCCAAAACCCCCCAATCCTCACTGATGTGGCCCCCAACTGACACATTTCGCTCCTCTGGCGCTCCAGCCCCATGGGGCAAAGAGGAGGGACAAGGAGAACTGAGATTCAGAGCTTCCCAGGGGCCAGATTTACTTTTCTGGAGTTCCGGGGTTAGTGGATTTTGTGGACCCCCCAGGCTCTAGGGTGGGAACAAAAATGAGGGGTTTAGTGTGTGAGACAGGACTGTCTGTGAGTGGGATAGGGATGGGGGTGTAGGATCTGGCTGGGAGGTGGGGTGCAGGAGAGGGTGAGGGACTGAAGTCTGGGTGGGAGGTAGGGTGCAGGAGCAGGCTGTAAGTAGGGTGTCTGGCCAAGGGGGAAGCGGCAAGAGCAAGGGAAGGTGCAGTATGTGGCCAGAAGGGAGGGTGCAGGAGCAAGGGGGAGTAGGGTGTCTGACCAGGGGTAGGGTGCAGGATCAGGCTTAGGGGAGGGTGTCTGACCAGAGGATAGGATGCAGGAGCAGGCTGGGGTGTAGGGTCTGGGTGTGAAGGGGTGGGGTGGGCACTTACTTGCTTTTGTGACCCACCCTACTCCCAGGCACTGTGTCTCAGGCTCGGCCACCTGCTGCTCCCATTGGCCGCAACTCTGGCTAATGGGAGGAGCGGGGCAAGCCACCAGGCAGCACATCTGTGCGCCGCTGTTTTCCCACCCAGGGGATGGGAGAGGAGGAGTGACAACATGCAGATCTGCTTCTGGCTCCGCTTCTTCCCCACAGGGTGGGTCTGGCGGGGAGGCTCGGGGCTTCCCCCCTCACTGTTAATTACATAATTAACTGGCACGCCACACTTCTTTGCCTCCCTCCCCAACTAGCTATTTTGCTGCATTCTCACCCTCTCACCTTTTCTGTGTTACTTCAACTCCTTCCCACCCCCAAACTCCCTCTTGTCCCAGTGCATCAAAAAGCGATCTGCTTTTTCGAAAGGGAGTGCCCAGACTGAATGGATTCATCCTTATCCCAATCACTGGCAGTCCTGTCCCGCGCACTGAGCTCCTCATTTTTGTTCCCACCCCAGGGTCTAAGAGGGGCCACAAAATCCACTAACTCTGGAACCCCAGAAAAGTAAATCTGGCTTATAGGAAGCCCTGAACCTCAATCCTCTCTGTCCCGTCCACTCACCCCATGGGGGCTGGAGTGCCAGAAGAGTGAGGTGTTTCAGTTGGGGGCCACATCAGTGCAGGTTTTGGGAGAAGTTTTTTTGCTTCTCACTTGTGTGGTCCCCAGCTAATTTCTCTGTGAGTCAGTGGCCCCAGATCCAAAAAAGGTTCCCCACCGCTTCCATAAAGAAAACATTGAAACCTTTTGTGTTGGTTATAATGTTTTATTTTATTTAAAATGAAGTTTGATAAACTAACATGAGAAAGTTAAGGTGCTTAATCTGATTAATAATTTAATATTTCCTTTCTTGCTGGTTACATTAAACTGAGTAATAATTATGTAATTAACAGTGAGTTTCCATTAGCAACTGGCAGTCTGCAGAAAGGTCTGGATAGAGTAAGGCCTTAAGGAAAGGATGGTGTCTCAGAGAAGGGAGGGGATAGATCCTGGCTTGCCCTGACATTTAAAAAGTGATCTTGGGTGTAAGAAGGTGGGAGACCACTGGCTTACGGTAAGCCGACTCCAGCTATGTATTCTATGTAGCTGGAGTTGCATACCTGAAGCCGACCTTCCAGGCTTAGTGTCTGAGTCAAACACTGACAGCAACAAACACTAACGGGAAATAATCACATCTCTGATGGATTGGAAAATAAAACCATAGGCCCCAGCTCTACATTTCGAAGACAAAGGGTAGATCTACACTTAAAAGGCTACATTGGTACAGTTGCATTGCTATAGTACTTAAGTGAAGATGCTCTTATGTCAATGGGAGAGAGCTTTCCCATCCACATAGTTCACTCACCTCCCTAAGAGGCGGTAGCTATGCTGGTGGGAGAAGTCTACAGAGAGACTAGGGTTGGTACAGTTATGTCGCTCAGGGATGTAGATTCTTCATACATTTGTAGTATAGATTAGGGGCGTAAGGGGGTAGTTGAGTTGACTACTCGCTTCCCCCCCTGCCTTGGTGCCTCTGTGTCAGAGGCACCAAGGGTGGGGGAAGCAGGAGCCGATGCTGAGGGGAGCTGGCTTAAAAGCTGGATCTGGTTCCCCCCAGCACTGTCTCCACTGTGGGGGGTGGAGGTGCAAGCGGGCAGAGCTGCACCATCCCGGAGCAAGCTGGGATTGTTCAGTCCTGGCTCACACCAACCCCGAGAGCTAACCCTGTTATGACTCTGCATTTTAAATGTAGTAAGAGCTCACAGGGCTCAATTACCTTATCAACTTGTCAGTTACACTTCCTGTCCACTTCTAATTATTGCCATCCCCATTTTCATGTCCAGCATACTGTAATTGTAAAGAATGGCTCCTTTTCAATATTTCCAAGCATAAATACTAAAGCAGATGAAATCAACTGAAGACAGTGGCTTGGCACCAATATTTTATATAAGATATTCTGTAATCTTCTCTTCTTATTACTGGGGATAGCAGTATTTGTAGCATGGAATCTACTTTATACACACCAAAACAGAGAAACACCACCACAAATGTAAAAAGGTGTAGTATTTTAATTCTGAAGTATACAGCACCAAAAATAGAAATCTGGATTATGATGTTTGTGGTGCTAGTGACTTTTTACAGATTCGTAGGAAAATAAGGACCAGCCTCAAGAAGTGTCTGATCATGTCAACTAAACAAAACACATACAAATAAGGATCAGGTGCATGTGGGAAGAGGTCAACATAATAGTAAGCTTTAAGGAGCAAAGGGATGGAATTAGGCATACATAGAAAAGCAGAAGCAATTTTAAACACAGGCCTGGTCTACACTTAAAAGGTAGCTCAACACAGCTATGTTGGCCAGCTGCATAACAAGGTCAAGAGGGTTGTAGCGAAGGAAGCGAGAAAGGAATACACATGATTACATAATTCCATAAAACTTTCAACATTCCTCCATTATGGCTCACTCACCACACTAGCAATTTTTCAGAGAGAGACAGCATTGCAATAACTAAGCACTGGTTCTGTTAGGAAATAAATGTTCTTCATAATAAAAAGTCTGTCTGGAGGTCTTGGAGCGAGATGGGCCTAACCCCCAGTGTAGACACGGCTAACATTAATAAAGAGTGCTTCCATTGACGCAGCTACCCTCAACTGGGGAAGTGGAGCTTGGATGGAAAAATCTCTTCTGTTAGTGTAAACTGCATCTACACCACAGGCTTATACTGGCACAACAAAGGTTACACAGCTATATTGGTATAGTCTGTGTAGTGCGGTCCTACACAGACTGAAGCATGAAAAAAGGCATGAAGTCAATATTGGAAGAAGCAGAAAAAGCAAGCACTGAGAAGAAAAACACCGAACAGAGAGCATGAAAAGAAGTGCAGGAGGGTATCAGAGCAGAGATGTAGTCAGGAGTGCAGAGGCACAACTCAAAGTGGAGCACAAGGAGTCTGAACTGGATAAAGCGTGGAAGCCCATTAAGGGAGCGTTATTTCTGGAGACAGTGGAAAGGAGAGAAGCGTGGCGAGGGAAGTTACACTGCTCTGGGTAAAAGATAACAGAGGGTCAGATTTGTAACACAGTGGCAGTGATGGAGAGGCAAGGACAGATTTTAAGAGATATGGAAGAAGAAGAAATTGGATAGGCCAAAAACCTAGATCTAAAAGAGGAGAGGAGTCAAAAGTAATATCAAAATTTGAGGTGGTGTGTTGGGGTGAGGTAAAGAGGAGAGATATGCACTCAGTTTATGACAAGAGGAGTTCGAGAGAGTGGTGGGCTATCTAAAAAGGAGCGAGCAGTCAGAGGGACAAGCAGTTGCACAGAAGGCTACAGGAAAGACTGCTGGCCGAGGAAGCCTTGACATTTGTTAGGCAAAGCTGAGAAATGATAACTTGCACTTCCATGCCAGATAAATGACTCTTGTCTATCATTCTACACAAGATGAGCTAAGGATTCAAAAGAGGGTGTACCACGCTGGTTCTCTGGGATACACTGAAAGCATAAATGATTCATTCTATGTAAAAAGCGTATGTTTGTGATCCTGCTGCAGAAGGTGGACCCGGTTGATACTTCTTTCAACCCTACCAGCCGTGTCAGGGAATCCGCCATGAGAAACTCGACAAGACTGAATTCAGCCCTCATGATTCATTGGCTTCAATAGCTGAAGCTCTGGGATCAAATAAATGATCTGTATCAGTCTTAGTTTTGAAGTGGGCAATATTAATCAATTTTCTATAAATCACAGGACAATCCTGATTTAGTTCTTGTTTTAGTAGCTCCGAGAGAGAACTGTCTTCTAAACACGATGTTTAAGGAAAGAGAGAATGCACACAGTTATATATCCATTCTTCTTGCTCGTTCAGAGGCATCACATGCTGACAAATCTGCATGTAAAAAGAGGAAAATATAATGAACTATCTTTATTTACTACTCTTTCCTTAATTCCTATACTGATGTACATTTTTTATTTAAAAAGTCATCTAAATGATACTACCCTTTTTATTTCTAGGACACATACTGGAAAAGTTAGCTGGTGCAAAATTCAAATTATGTAATAACAGGTATTATTACAGCATATAACTATATTATTGGTAAAATCCAGGGAAGGGCTGTCAGCCCACAATTCTAATTGATTCCAGCACAAAAAGGAGCCAAATAGAACACCTTGTGGCCTGGAACCTCCTCTGGCTGGTTAAAGGTATCTGCAACAGTTTTGGAATAGTCCTGATCCTACACTCCCATGATACTGCATCAATTTAAATGTGGCTACGAGCAAGTGCAACAGGCCATTTGTACATGGCAGGATTAGGGCCATAGGTTGGATAATGAAGACATACAGAATTATTTCACCTGAATGAGCTGCATTTGAAAGAGAATCGCTGTACTTTTAGCACTTTATAAAGTAGGTTTGCTTCATAAATGAATGACTTGGAAAGAAATACAAGACTTATCAAAATACATATTGATTTTTTTTATTTGTATCCTCATTTAATGCAACATTTACTAAATATAGTACAATTTCTGGAATGGGAGTCAGACAATAGAATTACCATTTATCTAAATACTGTTCATAAATTATGCTTTTTAAAAAAAATCAGCCTGTGGGAAGTTATATTGCCCATAACATACATTATATAGACGTATTTTTGTGTGTGACTAGTAAAAGGTCATGCTAAGTCTGTGTTTCATGGTTACTGGAATGCATTGGATGAAGAGAAAACTTAAATTTGATCCAAAATCAATATGTCTAACAGCTCCTTTTTTTAAAAAGCAAACTTAATAAAAATAATGACAATGAAAAGAAACAGATGTGCCACTGCAGATGTCTGAAATCCAAACACTGCAACAGTAAATTGATTTTACACGAAAGTGAAACTGCCTTCATTTGCATTAATTGTCCAAGCTAAGCAAACAAATCACACAAATAATTATAAGTAAAATGGATTTTTTAAGTTTTTGATTTTTAATAATCTAAGGCGTCACTAATATTATAAACATTATTCATTTGCAGCATATAGATGTTAGGTTAACTGTCTCTCTTTCATAATACAGTAAAACTCCATTAGTCTAGCATCCAATGCTCTGGCACTCCTGATGGTCCGGCACCATCAGGAACCCGGAAGTGTTCGGGGCAGCTGGACAAATGGAGCTGCTCTGCGCCCGGCTTCCCCGATTCAGCTGCTGGTCAGTTTCAGCAGCGGCTGAATCGGGGTTGGTCCCCAGGTGCACCTATTCAGCCACTGCTGAAAATGACCAGCGGCTGATTCCGGGAAGCCCGAGGCAGAGCAGCTCTGCCCCGGGCTTCCCAGAGTCAGCCGCTGATCAGTTTTAGCAGCGGCTGACTCTGGGACGCCTGGGACAGAGCACCTGGGATGCTGCTGGGTTGGTCCCGTAGCGCTGCCCCTCGGGGCTGCGGGACCACCCTGGCAGCACCCCAGCTGCTCTTGGGGACGCCTGGAGCAGAGCAGCTGGAGTGCTGCCCGTTTGGTCCCGCAGCGCCGAGGAGCAGCGCTACAGGACCAACCTGGCAGCACCCCAGCTGCTCTTGGGGACGCCTGGAGCAGAGCAGCTGGAGTGCTGCCCGTTTGGTCCCGCAGCGCCGAGGAGCAGCGCTACAGGACCAACCTGGCAGCACCCCAGCTGCTCTTGGGGACGCCTGGAGCAGAGCAGCTGGAGTGCTGCCCGTTTGGTCCCGCAGCGCCGAGGAGCAGCGCTACAGGACCAACCTGGCAGCACCCCAGCTGCTCTGCCCCTGGCTTCCCCGATTCAGCTGCTGCTGAAACTGACCAGCAGCGGCTGAATCGGGGACGCCTGGGGCAGAGCCGGACTATCGGAAGGAGGGGCTATGAGAGGTCTAGGGTGGCATCACCCCCATCCCACCCAAGACTCCACATAGCCCCCCTTTTGATAGTCCGGCATATTTGATAATCCGGCACCCCCTGGGTCCTAAAGGTGCCGGATTATCAGAAGTTTACTGTAGTATAATGAACATGCATCACTCTACTGCAACAAGACACATAATAAACATGATTTAATTTACACTAATCATTTAAGAGGTATAGTCATTAAAATTGATGTTTCATAGCAGCAAAACATTTCCTGCTCTGAAAATAAATGTGTTGGATTTGCATTAGCATTTCCAAGATTTACTGATTGGTGACCAATCTGCTATGACAACTCTCTTTCTATTGACAGTATGAGCTTGCTTAAATTGGAGTGAATGCTGAAAGGTGTTCATAATTAGTACGATTATAGAAAAAGGCCAAGCAAAGCATATGGAGGCAAAAACTGGCTAGTTATACATTTATCTGGTCCTCTGCACAAGGAAATACCTGCCCTTGAAAAATTTTGAAAATCAGTCCCTCATCTTAACTACATTTCTCAGGCAGATGGACATTTCTCCTTTTGCTTCATATCCACGTACTCAATTTTAATATACAAAGATGTGCAAAAACAAACTCTAAAGATCTCATATATGACATTTTTACTAAGATCTTAAATAATGGAAATAATAACATTACCATCATGGATTTTGGTGCCACTTCAACAGCAAAAATGTTGAGTCCCCTATTATTTACACAGTTCTTACTCTGCTCATTGTTGACATGAATTACCACTTTGTTTTCAGACTGCAAGTGGAAAATATTAGAGGTCTTGTTAGTTTTCATAATTAAATGGCTGCTTCTTATAAAGCAACTTAAATATTCTGGTAGCTTCATCTGAAACTGGGATGAAAAGTTTTAAATAGGCGAGGTAACGTTTTCAGAAGCTTTGGTATCACTTAAGAGCTCAATTCTTTCTGACAGTCAATGAGACTTGAACTCCTATGTGACACAAGTGCTTTTGAAAATGTCACTCACAGTGCTCAATTCTCTGATAATGTAAATTGGCACAGCCTCCATCTTCACTAAAGCTCTGCCAATTGACACCAGCAGAGAATTTGGTACACAGTGTACTTGTTGAGTATGCACGAGTAACAATGCAACCCTCTGGTGTCAGCCCCATATCCAAGATATCAGACATACTATGGAAGATCTCAAGTAGTAGATGTCTGGTTTGGGAGCTGAAAAAGCAAGATTTAAAAGAGAGAGAGAGAGACAGAGACAGAGACAGAGAGAGACCGTGTGTGTGCATGCACACAAAAAGAAAGACACACACACACACAAATGTATGTAGTTGTGTCCATTATATGCAGGTTGTGGATTTGTTACAAATACTCTCTTCCAAAATACAACTAGCCTACGTATGAAATAATTCTTAAATAAATCTACAAAATTAATGTGCTTAAAACAGATTAGATAATGAGCTAAATCTTGACTTTGGACATGTGTCCATGGCACATGCTGCAGCTGTGTGCACACTTCTAAGAATGAAATAGGACCCAGTAATTACACAGGAAAGGAGACAGTCCAGCTGGTTGTTAAGAAATGGATAGTCTGGCCCAATCACAACACAGAACCTCATGTAGTTCTTTGGTATCATCTAGCTCTAAAACCAGGAATGTTTGCAAAGCCTGCCCACCTCTGGGCAGATGGATAGTGCTAAATGACTGTCCAACTCCACAAGGGATGGACTGTGATACCCCCCCCCCCCCACACCTTTGGCAGTCAAGGCACTGCATAAGGACACTGAGTTTTGAACATCTGAGCAACCAAGGGTTTGGGTATGACTGAACAGGCCATATTCTCCAGGCCAACTTGCAATGAATTACTGGAATGGAGCTGTCAGGCCACTGGGCTGAAGATGGGGAGAATCGGAGAGAGATAGCCCCATACATTTTAAGATCTCATCTCTCTTGTCTTCTTTTGTAATCTCTGCACCACAGTGAAAAGTACAGATGGTCAAAATCTACATATCCCAGCTTATAGAAAAGGAGAAGCTTCAAGCTTCTTTCCTCTATGGATACCAAGCAAATTACAAAGCCTCTATGAACTGGGCCTAATCATTAATTGGCCCAATGCAGAATTGATATATTAAACCTGTTACTTATTGCTGTACAAAATGAGCTCAGACAGGACTCACACCGAGCTGATCTAACTTAGAAAAACAATCAAACCAGCTATTTCAGACTAGACTTAAATTAAAGACATGCTAATGTGTACTGTCACTCACATTTAGATACATTTAGATTTAACACTCAGAAATGCTGAAAATTTTTCGAAAAATCCTATCAATCAAGCTTCTTACTGTGAAATGAAATAGGAATATGATTATTTCACACAGCAGCCTCCTCCCTGAACTTAAAGGTTTGCTATGACTCTATACGGATAAAGATTGGCAGAAATGCTGTCTATGATACTCTCAGTACTAAAGGTTTATATAGCTTAGAATGTGAATATAATCATGTTTAAAATAGAGGCTGCAAAAAACAAACATCTCTTTGTGTATTTCTTTTCATTATTTTTGTGCCTTGATATTTTCTTTGGGAGATGTCTATAGTTCTACATGGGAAGCAAGATGAAGATGGTTCACAGAGACAATATCTATAAGATGAATAACTTTTGGACATAGAAACAGGTGCAGATAATATTTAATACATTTTTACTTCAAGTTATAGGCTATGATCTGATAACAGAGTTTCTTTAAGGGCAGGTAACAGTCAGAGCTCCACCTAGTCTCTATAACTTTTGGAGCTGTTTGTTCAGAGACAGATAATCTTATAGGGACCACAGAAGAACGGGAGGAAGACCTTTTAACTCCACTTAACTGCGGGAAAGTGCCAGACAATTAATCTCTTACTTATAATTAGCTTATAATTTACTTTAGAAATCACAAAACATTATTTCCATTATACTTGTAATTAATGCCCATATTTGTGATTTGAAAGGTTAACAGTAAACTCTTTGGAAACCATTATGTTTCTCAGTGTTTTGTAATAAAAAAAAATTATACTAAAATGTTCATGAAAGTTCAACAAACAGGTCCAGTACAGAGCAGAAAAGCTTGTGGGGCCAAAATCTCCATTGTTGTAAATGACAGTTCCACTAACCAGAAGAGAATTTGGTGATTGGTATTTAAGAATATCTCTGACAAATCCCCAAGCTACATTTAACTTATTTACATCTGAAGGATGAAGTGCTGAATGAGACCTACTAGGACTTTAACCTGTGGATCTAGAGAGTCTAGATATTTTAAATTTACTGTTCTATCTCTGAGCCATCCCTTCCTGATAAGTGTTCCCTTCTAAAAAAATTGGCACATTGGACCTAGCTTTATTTTAGCATCTAACTATACTATTTCCTTATTCAGAAATCCTAATATAAGGGAAACTGTGAACAGAATTAGCATTAGGCCCCATGCAAAAGGATTTGGAATTTCTGCTTCCATTTTACGGAACATGTTTGCCTGGGTTTACATTCATTAATTTGGATTACTTCAACATCCCACTCAAAAACCTGAACAGACAAAACAAGATTCAAAATAAATGGTGGAAACTGATGGATGTCCTATGCACTTGAGGGGTGAGAGGATACAGAAAGAAGTTAATAGTTGAAATGTCACCCATAATAATCCCATAAAACCAAAACGTGTGTATATCATACTGTTCATGCTTAGTACTCATGTTTTCTAAATAAATTTGTAGAAACTGACTGTTTTCAATCCACAGTTTTGGTTTGAACTGACCAGCATTTTCCAGTGACAAAAACTCTTTATTTGAAAAAATCCTGATCAGTTCTAATCATACAGACATAATGTTGCTGATCTTTTACACTACACATTTGCCATGAGCCTTTGTAAATACAGACAGGAACTCAGCTAATAATACAATAAGCAAGTGCCCTACATCATCCTGATCCAATGTCTATTGGAATAGATGGACAAAATCCCATTGTTTTCAGTGGACTTTGGAGCAGTCCCTTAAAAAGGAGGATTTTTTTGTATTAAGTGGGTACAGAATCTATATATCAGCAAGCTTAATGAGGAAGAAGTAACAATGATGTACATTAGCATGAAAATTCTTTTGTGCAATGTGCATAAGAAAAATATCAGAAAATACCTTATTTTCAATAACAGAAGTGATCCGTGTGTCACTTTTGTAGGTATAGACAATTATACTTTCACCATTATCCAGTACTTTGGCATCTCCCTTGTTAACAACAGACTTGCAAATGGCTTTGTTAAGTTGCCTGCTGCCTGCCTCCAGATAAATAGCTTTAATTTTGGGTTTGCATTTTTCTGCATAGATATCAATGACAAAAGGGCATGCCTGTTATAGAAGAAAAATACAGTAACTGTATATGTTGTTTAGTTCTTGTTAATTTATGACTAATCAGATTTTTACCCTCAGACCTGTTCTGCGTCAGGTCATCTGTAAAAATTGTCCAATTGTAGGTGCACCATTTAACTAAGGGGTTAAATTATATATGCTCTTGATCCAAACAGCTGAAGCACACAATATATAGTTTGTTCTTATCCTTCGGAAAACAAAGCTTCTAACCACAAACTACAGTTGTGAAAGGCAAAGAATCTCCATAAGGAACTCAAAAGACTCTGAAACAAGGAAACCGTCCTTGTTAGAGACCAGCTCCCTCTAGTGTCCAAACTGCAGAAAGACAGAGCATCATCTCTTTTCCAGCTTTCTTAGGGAAAATTAACTCAGTGCGAAATTATTCACAACTGTTTGCTAATTGTTTAAATCTTCTAATTGATAAGAGAATGGCTAATTCTAGCCTCTTAAAATATCATGGCTTCACTGTTTTTGTGTTAGTATATTTTTGTTTCACGTGCACAGAATGGTTTTCTTTGCCAATTACATAGTCTTATGGCCCTGAATGGCTTTGGTTTGACAGAAAGTAAACAAGGAAAAGAAAATGATAACAGGGTAATAAAAACATTCTTTTCTTGGAAATAAGCTACAAACACTGGACTTTTCTGCATTTTTAATGGAGTTTTTGGTGTGTCTTTATACTTAGTTTTGCTTTTCCTCCCCAGTTTTTTGCTAAAGCTCCTTCTGGTAATGGTGTGGTAATTCACTTTTTAACCTTTTTAATCAGGCAACCATGGGAAACAGGGTATGCCAGATTAAAGATTTTGCCAGGTCACGGAGAGAGCTGTGGAGTCTGTGCATGAGAGGGTGGGGATAGGATGCTTCCCTGTGCCCCACTCCCAGGGGCACAAGTAGCTCTGTGCTCCCTACCGCTCCCAGGCATTGCCCCTCCACTGCCATGAGAGTGGCAGCAGGAGAGCTGACAGCTATGCCGGGCTGTTGGGCAAGTTGGGGGCAGCAGCTCTGTACTACCAGAAGGGGCAGAGCCTCAGGCAGAAGGAGCGGGCCAGGCAGCCAGCTCTAAGCACTGCCCGTTGAGCTCCTGGGAGCATGCTATGCAGCATTCCGGTGGCAACTGAAAGGGCCCATGGCTCTGGGTGCTGCTGCTGTTGCCATAGTGGGCCTGAGTGGTGAGGAAAAACCTTGGGGAAAGCAGCTTTGCGTGCTGCCATTTCCACAGCTCCTGGGGAAGCAGCAGCGCAGAGCCACTTCCTCCTCTGCATCACGAGCATTCCCGGACTAGATCCTACATGAGACACAGATTGCCTTCTCAGCATTGTTATGGCACCATGGGGAGAGGCAGCAGTAAAACCCCTAGAATAGCTAGGTAATCCTAGCTGGAGAGTTTGAACTCTGAGTCCATGTAAAAATATATTACCTGGCCCTGAATGGCTTATTATTTATTTATTATTTTCACCCATGGGTAGGTTTTTCTTGTTCTGGTCAGTGCAAACACCCTCCAGGAGCCTTGGCTTTCATCCTTGATGCCTCATTCTGTACCTTCCCGGTTAATTTTGAAATGAATGCAAGTGGCAGCCTCTTACTGCTTTCAAGCGATGTTTACCACCATGCCACAGAGATGGTTTTTTTGGTTTGGACAAAGAGAGGGATTCTTTCCCTGTTGACTAGGCCATGTTGGAAGACATATCCAGATCTTGGCCAGCGTGAGCCCTGGAACTCTGGATGTACTGATAGGCCACCATTTTTTGCCTCTTTCTTCTCACCCACCACTTCACCGAGAACTGCTCCTCCCTAGCAGTTCAAACCAAGGCCTTCAGCAGATATGTCCCTAGTCCTTTTCTCTCAACAGGCCCTGTAAAATACTGGTATCCAGCAGCTGAGTTGAGTTCTTTCTTTGAGCACTAAGAGATTTTACTGCAGCAGCTCTGATCTCTACCTCCTCTAGAGTCCCACTCATCAGTGCTAGCCTAGGGAACAGACTGCCTGACCTGAAATGCAGAGTGAAAACCTTTCAAGCAGCGTTGCTGGTGCACTGAAATCCATTTATGAAGGACAGAAGCAGCATTGCAGTTAAATGTGCAGCGAGTGATATGAGAAACTGTTATTTTTGATACACAACTATCATACCTCTGTCATTTCCAGTGCTTTATTGTAGCCCAGTGACAGTAAAGTGAGCCAGAGGTCACTAGTGTCCCCTTCACGGTCATTGGCCTCCATGAGATGCAGATCCATAAATCCCTGTCTTGTGAGCTCATTCTTCTTTGTGTCAAAATTCTCTGTATAAAGGGGAATCAAGTAGTTCTTAAATTACTGCTTCCTAAGGCACACAATTCTGCAGTCTTCACCCTGGCCTTTCATAGGCAAAGCTCCCTTTGACGTTTTGTCCATCAGTCTTGCAGCCTCTAGTTCTCCAAATTTCATTATAAAATGAGGAAATAGTAAAGGATTCTCTTGAGTGAAAGCTGTTTACAGGGCATCTTCCAAGATTTTAGGGGATGACAGGGGCCGCAGGCTTATTGGCCAAAAGAAGGTGAGGTCTCATAATGTAGAGTGTGGCTTGAATTATTTCTCTACCCCATGGTAATATCTGCAATTGAGTAAGATTTTAGGAAAATAGAACTCTGGGAATAGGAAACGAAAGTCCCGTGGGGCTATAGTGCTTTGGGGGAACTCATGACAGAATGTAGCAGATCAACTTCTCTAGTGTCAGCAAACATATAATTGAAATGTTCCTATGTCAGAGAATTTTAAAAATGGTTTTTTCATCATAACAATGCTAAATCTTGACTATATATTATTAAAAAGGGATTATCAATTTAATAAATCTATCTCAGGGTTGAGATGCTATTACAAACGGCTTGAACTTAGCCCTCAAGATTTATAATATTCATCTGAGTCCTTCAACTGATTAATGTCTGGTAATCCATCCACCATGTTCACTTCCTCTCTCTCTCAGACCCACACACAAATATAAATAAAGGTATAAAAAGTGGTGCAGAATCTAGGGAGATGAAACAGGAGGAAAAAAACTGATTTACAGGAGAACAATATTTGGATGACTTTTCTATTTTTTAGAAAAAGTACCAGATACACCGTGGGGATTTTAGAGATAAATATATAATAAGATCTGCAAAATTTCAAATTTTGTGGCCAGAATTAATTGAAGTGTGACAGGAGATTGTAGCCAAATCATCACTGTCAACTAGCTCTTATCTGCCTTTCTATCTAGTCACTTATACAGTCCCATCACTGTAGTGGCTGTGCACTGCAAAATTATTAAGGAATTTGTTCCTTGTGAGGCAGAGCTGTATGTCATCAGGACTGATTTTAAATGTTTGTCAATAATCCCACAAAAAATATGGGGGTTTTCCCCTACCAATTGACATTAAAGGCCAAATACTTCCTTCGAAAAATGCGTGACTCCATTAATTAGAACTGTGCTTACAAATCAAGGGCAATATATGGCTGAAAGAGTCCTAAAAACCCCGTAGACTTTCAAGCCCACTCACAGAGGTCTTGGGAAGCACGTTTACAGCTGTGAGAAGGTCAATATGGACATCTTTATGAAGTGTTTATGAAACTTTAAGAGACTGACTTCCAAAGAAAAATGCCTACATCTGGAGAAACATTGCTCCAATTGATATTTTCTAGAGAAAATAATATACAGTAAGTGACATGTTTTTCAAATTCAAAGCTCTCTACATGCATTGACTAACTGCTCCTTGCATTATCCTGTGAGGTAGAAAAGCATTTTCATCTCTATTTTATAGATGAGTCAACTGAGGCAGAGAGTAATTAATTGCAGCAGGTGGATTCAATATAAGACCCACAATTAGAACTCTATACTTCTTGGCACTCCGGTCTGTACTCAGAACGCATCTCTCACATACAAAACTTGTAATACACATATAGCCATGAGAAGCATTCCTTCTGTAGATGGGCTATTAAACATGATTACTGCAAGCAAATGGGACAGAGGAAGAATAAGTGATAGGAGAGTGGAGGAAAGGAAAACATGGAAAGAAGATGGAGGTATGGCTAGAAGAAAATGGGGAAGGTAATCAGTATCTAGCTCACAAATCTATATTAAGAATAATATTGTAGATGAATGTAGGTAACTTGTAACCAAAAATTCATAATTTCTGGTCAGTTTATTTAAGCAGAGTAACATCTTACCCTTGCATACAGCCCAGGCTTCCTCGTCACATTTCTCACCACTAGTCCTCAGTTCAAAGAAATTATATTCCTCCAGGCTTACAAGGCCATTTCCATCTAAATCAATTATTTCAAATATGTCTGATAAAGCTGCTCTAGAGACACAGAAGACAAGACAGTTTTTAAATACTTTTGCTTCCTTCCTCATGCTCTTGCATCGAATGATCCTGTAAGTTGACAAACATTTTTCCAAAGCAATAGCATTCAGACAAAAATGAATTCAGCAGCATAAAGGATACTGAGAGTATGTCCTTTTACAAAAGCTAGCATGCCTCCTGGCTAACATGACTCACTTGAACTCTTTGGTAAGGGCCAGCTCTCCGTCTTCATCTCTGTAAACAAGTTTGGCTTCTCCAGTAATTTGGTTTTTTATCTTCTTGAGCCTACAGCCAGTTGTGAATGGAATTAGCCAGTAAATACCAGATCCCAGTTCACCTTTCCACTTAAACATCTATTCTCAAAGGAAAATGGAGAAATCTGTGAGCCATTGTTTATCCAAAGCCTGCCTTCATTATTAATATTCCCACAATAATGATCAATTAATAGAAGATACTGACTTGTTAGAGTCCCCGCATTTTCTTTTGTTAGAGATGGCATATCCCTACAATATGTTTTTCATACCAGCATGTGAACCTGAGAACTAGTGGGTCTGCCAGCTGTGGTAACAGTTACATAGCTGGGCAGGACACAGGCAGCCATGGGACTTTCCTGATTGGAATAGATCAACAATATTTCTGTTGCTTCACAGATTTTTTTATCCTTTTAACATTTTAAACTTGAAAATAAAAACAAAACACGACACTTTTCCTGACAAAGGAGGCAGATTGACAAAACCCCACCGACTTTCTCACTCTTCCAGGCTGGCTCACAATCTGGCCCTGATTCATCAGCCTGCATCAAATTTGCCACAAACATTTTGCATGGCTCCTTGTCAATGCTCACAAGTAACAAGAGATGCAAGAGATAGGCTCATGACACAATTTACATTCAGAAGACCTTTAAGTTCAATTCCTAGTTCTGCCAAAGTCTTTCTGTGTGACCCAGTCACTTAATCTCTCTGTTTTAACTCCCTATCTGTAAAGTGGATGTAATGGTTCGCTCTGGTTTATTTAGACTGTAAATTCCACAAACCAGGGAGCATTGCTGGAATATGCCTATAGAGCTCTCAGAACAATCTGGCCTCAAGCTCGTTTCTCTATGACTTGATAGCTGGGGAGATGATTTCACACTGTCATTTCTCCCTCTGTGGGTTTTACCATAGAAGAAAAGCACATACAGTACGTAACTATGTCTGGACTCATTCCCATGGCAAAGGGAAAGCGGAGTGAGA